GAACTTTGCTTCAAACCAAACTTTCAGATGCAGCCTCGCTTTCTCTTCACGTGTTTTCGTGGTTAATCGTATGGTTTCCCATAGACGGCGCCAATCTGTTGATCCCAAAAAATGAATCAACAGATGATGAGCCCCCTCACGCCAAGCCAATTACGATTTCGACGCATTTCTACCGGAATGATGACGGTAGCATGACGAAGATGGATGCGGGAGGTACCTTACAACGAGAGACAAAATTGTTCAAGCTCTGGCGGGTGGAACGAAAGCAGTCGCGCTAACAACGATTACCTGGTCGAAAGTAAACTAATCTATGTAATAACAAACAAGAATATGTGGAAGGATAGATGAAATGTTAGTATGTTTCTTTCAAGAGTTCAAGTGTATATCTCAAATATATGATTATACATTTTTCTTATCAATGATCCCACCCCCTATTTAATTACAAAGAGAACCTATTTATAATGCATTGGCCGACGTGGTGACTATTGGATCAGAACTATGTGGCATCATCTCCCTTACTAAGGCTTCACATCACTGTCTATCTATACAATTAATACATTGATAAAAGGTCGGCCGTCCTATACAATAGGCTGACTTACTGACAAATTTTATTACAAGTGTTACATCAATCACTTCTAAGAGATCTGCAAATCCATTACAATGGACAACATCGGCTTTATGAGCCTCGGATGAGTTGAGAGGGCCTCGAATGGACCTGAGCCTCATCTCTGATGAGGTGCTTCAGGCCGGACTTCATTGCACCCTGTGATAACTTCGGGTATTGTGTTGAGGACCTCGGCCTACTTGTCTTTATTGACGTGTCTAACCTACTGGGTTTCTTTTGACTTATTGACTATTTGCAGCTAGCATCCGGCCCAACTTAGATCAGTTGCTTACGTGGCATCCGAGCTAGGACCTCAGATATGGGGGATAACAGTGTACATAACTCTCACATGGAATGAGACCCACCCGTGTAAGTCCCATGGTGTGTCACATCCCATGTGAGAGTTATGTACATTTCTTTCAAGAGTTCAAGTGTATATCTCAAATATATGATTATACATTTTTCTTATCAATGATCCCACCCCCTATTTAATTACAAAGAGAACCTATTTATAATGCATTGGCCGACGTGGTGACCATTGGATCAGAACTATGTGGCATCATCTCCCTTACTAAGGCTTCACATCACTGTCTATCTATACAATTAATACATTGATAAAAGGTCTGCCGTCCTATACAATAGGCTGACTTACTGACAAATTTTATTACAAGTGTTACATCAATCACTTCTAAGAGATCTGCAAATCCATTACAATGGACAGCATCGGCTTTATGAGCCTCGGATGAGTTGAGAGGGCCTCGAATGGACCTGAGCCTCATCTCTGATGAGGTGCTTCAGGCCGGACTTCATTGCACCCTGTGATAACTTCGGGTATTGTGTTGAGGATCTCGTCCTACTTGTCTTTATTGACGTGTCTAACCTACTGGGTTTCTTTTGACTTATTGACTATTTGCAGCTAGCATCCGGCCCCACGTAGATCAGTTGCTTACGTGGCATCCGAGCTAGGACCTCAGATATGGGGAATAACAGTGTACATAACTCTCACATGGAATGAGACCCACCCGTGTAAGTCCCATGGTGTGTCCCATCCCATGTGAGAGTTATGTACACCATTATATACATAAATTATGTACAACAAGAATAATCATTATTTTATATGGATTGATGTCCTTGTTTTCATATTAAGTGGTGTTTTACAGTATTTTCCTGTTTGTAATACATCGTATTAGAATTTGGGTGTGACCCGAATTTCTTATTGAAGTAATTGAAGAATTTTAATTGGAGTGGATGTTAAGAAAAATTCAGTTTGAATTGTTAATGGGGCTCTATGTCAGTTGAAGTTCTATTTTGGAAGTTTATTGGGAGTTGGAATTTGTTTTGGACTTATTTTTTGATATCCTATTTCATCAACAACTCTACTATGAGGGTTTGAACATCTCCTACATGTTCCCTATAAATATTAGGCCCTTCTATACAATTTTAAAAGTGTAAGAAAATAGATTACTAGAATTATAGGATCAATTGTAATTTTCTTTTTTCTCCATTATTTTTTAGCAAATAAAATCTCTTAATTCCTTTACTATATTTCTTATCTTTATTGTTCTTTTACTTGATCTAATATTTCATTATTTGTCATATAAGTTCAACAATTCATTTCGTTGGTTGATTTCATCAAGTGATATTCAAACAATACATAATTCTTGTATTTTCAACATTGCTAATAGCGATCCGAGTATATTAATATTTCTTCTAACAAGAGATATTTTGGTTGTTTTATAACCCATCAATTTTCTATTCTGCTCATTCACAATTGAAAGCACCTGTCACTATGGATTTTGATTTTTCAAAAGGGTGATCATAAGAAGTTGAACTTCAATACGCTTTTCTGTGTAAATTTCACGGAGTTTGAACAACTTCCCATCATATCTGATAGTTATAAAAAACTTTGTGCTTAAAATTGTGTTTGAACTTGGCTTGTATTACTCGAGTTGAGCCGTAGTCCAGTTTGATTACATCCCTTAAACCTCCAATTTAATCAATACTCACGTGAAGCTACCAGGATAATTGTACAAGAAGCAAATCTCAAAGGCACATAACAGGCTAATGTTGATTCTGAATATGCGGTCTCAGTTCATCTTAAACTTAGAATCGGGCCGAATTGGACCAGCTCACCCCTATATGGCTGGAACGGATGATATTCGATCTAATTAAAACATAAAATCGTGCCTATGTTTGGCTTCCCTTTTTCAAACTCAAATTTATTTTTAATCACACATTTTTTCAATAAAATAAAATAATTTTGCAATTGGATCCTTAACTTTTTCATGCTGTTCAACCCCCCAAAAAAAAAAAAAATCCCAAAATCTATTTTTAAAAAAATTCTACCAAATTGTACTATATATTATCTTATATGTTCCGTTCCACTAATTAAATTTTGACGCATTTTTAAAATTTTAAAATGGAACAGAGTGTTTCTTGACTTTCCAATTGTGTCCCAGTAAAATTAATATTCCTTGGGTTGATATACAAGAGAGAGACGAACATTGTGCATGTTATAGTAACTCAAGAGTAGCTTGTTTCCAAAACCTTTAATAATTTTCCGACAAACATTACTATTTAATCACAAATAACGCCGCACATGACAGGCTGGTACTACTCTTCGCTGTCCTGTCCCGTGTATTCCCATTACATTTTTTGTGTTCCTTGGCACTTTCAAATGTTTGACTTTACTATTTCATACTTCAACTCCTCCCTGGACCCTACACCACCGGTCCACCGTCCACGTACCACATCGACTTATCATTTGTTTACAACCAACCATCCACATAGAAGTGGCAATGGGCCAGACCGAGCCAGCTAATGCGTATGAGCTCAGCTCGTGCCGGCTAATGCGTATGACCTCGGCTGGTGACGAGACGAGCCGAGCCGAGCTTCTACTTGGCTCGGCCTGTGAGCTCGTGACTTGTGGGTCGAGCCGAGCTTCGGCTAGCAAGTTCGTCCATTTTCCAATTTTTTTTTATTCAGGATAAACCTTTAAAAAAAAAAAAAGATAAACCCACGGGCGAGCGGCTCGTGGGCGATTTGCCACCATTACATCTACATATTGTTATTGTATATATTGAGAGAAAAAAGATTTTATTTTATTTTGAATTTTTAATAATTTATTTGTGAATCATTTGCACTTTTTAAAAATGTTTGGAAGTATGATTGCAATTAGTTCTCTATTTTTAAGGAAAGGACTGGTAGTTTGAATGTTTTAATAAGATTTTTGAACTCATTTGCAATTTTTGAAAAGTTTGGGAGCACAATTGTAATTTATTTTTATTTTTATTTTCCTTTTTTGTTTTATTTAAATATGATGGTATATTTGTCATTTTACATTTTTATTGAAAAATTGGATAAAAATTGATAAAAATGACTTTTTCACAATGAAATGTGAAAATAGAGATGAAAATGTAAAAATTTGAAACGTTGGGACATTTTGTACACTAAAAGCCAAGCGTATGGATGTTTGTGCTAAAAAACCTTATTAGAAGATTAGTTAAGATAAATTTCCTAGAATTTTATTATTATTATTATTTATTTAGAATAGTAAATTAGAGCTTCTTACTTTTCATTAAAAGATAGTATAATACTATAATATAAATTTGAGAGTTTCTCAATTGGGTTTTTCCATTTGTACCGAAAATGTATGACAACGATTTTGACAACCTCTAACATGCGTGGGGATCCTACATGAATAAAAAATTCCAAAAAAATGTAGACCCTCCCCCTACTGTGAGTGTTGGGTCAAAGTGTTTGTCTACCATTTTCGGCAACTCTTCTTAATTATCCCAATTTATTTATTCAGTAAAGAATCGATTAAATATTTAATATTCAATTATCACACACATCATGGCATGCACGTATCGGATTAAAGTATATGACAAAGAAAAGGTCAAATTGAACATCAATCAATACCACAACGTTCACAGTAGATGATTGAGAGAGACATCATCACATGAAATCTAAGCAATACGACTAATTGGTCGTTACTCTGCCTTCCTATAAAAGTGAAATCCACAGTAGAATAGTGTAGTTAGTGAGGATTTACTCATTCAAACAATCCATCAATCACGTAAAGATCTTCCATTCGCAAGTACCAAGAAACCACATTTTTATTTATTTTTATTTTTTTAAGCAAGAAAAGAATATTTATTTTGAATTAACTCACATTCAGAATGGAAGTCTATGCAAACTAAGGACTTTAACATAATACAAGAAGCAAGAGATTGAATTTTCAAATCGACACCTCCACAGATACAATTTTTACACTTTCCTGTGTAATACTAGATACAACTTATAAAAGAACTCGAGAAAGAAACATCAAACGCAAAATATTCCATAGTGAATAAAATTATAGATTTAGAGAACAATGCCTTACTGGTAATAAACATTAGCGCCCTTTGGGGTTCATGATCTGTGAAAAGACAGCACTTGGTGTCAATCCGTCCGAATCTGTACTAGCAAGGCTCTGACCTCCAATGCTCATGGACATTCCACTGCTTTTCGAATCCGTAACGTTGCCATCAATTCCAGTGGATGCATTTGGATCCTTCTTTCCTTTGCATGTGACGTCAAATGTCCCCTCTTCAATGTCCATTCCTCCGAGACCTTTGCCACTTTCCTCTGCACTCTCCTGAAGCTGTAGAGCAAACTCAAGATTCCACAGCACATCACCCATGGAAGGCCTGTCGGTTCCAACATCGGAAATGCACTTCACTGCCGCCTCAGCAAATTTCTTAAAGCACTCGGGTGCAATCTTCCCCTTAAGGTATGGATCCATAATCTCATCGAGAATGCCCTTCTTATAGCAATGTTGAGCCCACTCAGCCAAGCTAACTTGTTCCTTTGGAAGTGTTGGATTTAAAGCTGAACGAGCACACAAGATCTCGAAAAGTACAACTCCATATGAGTAGACGTCAGATTTCTCAGTCAATTGCTGTCGTCTAAAGTACTCAGGATCCAGATAACCAAAACTACCCTTCACCACTGTGCTAACGTGGGTGTGCTCTAGTGAAGGACCTGTTTTCGACAGTCCAAAATCTGAAACCTTTGCAACCCACTTTTCATCCAAGAGGATATTAGTTGTCTTAACATCACGGTGGATAATAGTGTGTTTGGCACCAGTGTGTAAATAGTGCAAACCTCGAGCAGCACCGATGCAAATCTCAAGCCTCTGCTTCCATGGCAACGGGGGCTTTTGGGTCTTATATAGATGCTCTCGAAGAGTTCCATGAGCCATGTAATCATATACAAGAATCATTTCACAGTTCTCTTCGCAATATCCAATCAGTGAAACAAGGTGACGGTGCCGCAGTTTAGAGAGCATTTCAATCTCAGTTTGGAATTCATGCATTCCCTGTTCAGAGAGTGGGTTCCCACGCTTAATAGCCACTTTTGTGCCACCATCAATCTCTCCTCGAAAAACTTTGCCGAAACCTCCAACCCCTAGGAGGAGAGCCTCATCAAAGTTATTAGTGGCCGTCTTGATCTCAGAAATTGAGAAGTGGCGACAAAGATTTGAGGGGAGAGAGGAGGCATAGCTTCCTGTGGTGTTCGTCTTTGCAGAACCCGAAGAATGAGAGTTTCCATACAAAGATAAAGGAAGCCACCCATCACTGGTGCTAGAATCCTTTTTGTGCTTCCGATGTTGGGATACAAGACACACAAACAAACCAACCAGAAGAATTGCAGCAATTCCACCCCCAACTGCGCCTCCAATGGCTTTTTGGTTCTTTGAATGCCCCTTTCCAGATGATTGGTTATTTAACAAGTCGTCTTGTGGTTGTAGAAGTCGAGTTGGATTTGGACCAGCAAGATTTCCTTTAGTATCATTTATTTTGAAGATTTCTACCCCATTCAAGATAGCATCATAATATTGGGGCTTTGTGCCAGTGCTAGGATGCAGATCGAGCCAAAGTTCTGGGTCAGCCTGCCCAGAAGGAACGGCGACCACATAATCCTTGTAAACTGGAACCCCATTTCTTCCTGCCCAAGCAATTACATCTGCCCGCATCTCTGCAGTCTTATTATTAAGGAAGATACTGAATACTCTTTGGTTTGTTTTCGTAATAGCATCTGTTGTCTCACAGAAATGGAGCCTGACCAGGTAGGAGAAACCCGAGTCGATAGGAAAGAGCCAAGTCAAATTGTAATTTATGTTAACGGATGCATTGGGACCCATTGATCTCAGAGTGCTGTATACATCAATTGGGGCAATATAGGTTGGCATTCCTGGAGGATAGCTGACCGTTACATTTGGATCCGTTGTCTCTGTAACACCATTGGCCGCGGTAAATATGTATATTGAATCATCACGCCACGACCTAAAAAGACCTGTATCACTGGATGGTGAAATGTCATTTCCACCCACATTCAGCCTATAAACATTTTCAAGTGCCGTACTATTGTCAATATTGAATCCAATGGATTGACCAACCATAATTACAGTCCCATCCGTACTGTAAATATCAGGATGTGAAACAATCTCAATCCCATTCACAAACGCATAAGAGTTAGAAAGATCCTGGGATGGTATGAAAGTTAGACTTAACAATTCTGACAGGACATTAACAGAGAACTCCTTCATCAAAAAATCATAGTTCAGCGCTTCAGCAGTTTGTGCAGCACTGAAGTTTTTCAAAAGGGTATATGGCCCAGAGGTAACCGCGAAGACACCATTGGAAGCATCTAGCCCATTATAAGACGCAGGATAAAAGTATAAGCGGATAAATTTACGGCCTGGTGCAACAGGGAAAGTATAGTTATACTCAGATCGGAAAATTCGAGCAGTCATATAAGGTACAGAGGGTACAGAGGGTTTCTGGGTGGCAGCAGAGGTGGTCGAAGAGTTTCCGCGAGAAGATGCAAACTTCGATCCAATATCTGATGTCCATTTACGATTATCAGTATCACTAGAATCAGGGGGGCCTCCACAGTTCAATAAAATGTTATCTGTTGGTACATAATCAGCTGCTGATATATAATCAACCACAACGGCCAATAACAGAATACTGGTAATTGATAAAAACCAAGAATTATTGCTGTTCCTCATAGATGATTGATAAAGCCCGGAAAAATACACAAAATTCTGGAAAATTGAAAACAATCAGTTTTGACCTCTAGAAAAAAGCACAAAAACTTGAGCATATATCTACTGTAGAAACTATGATATGCCAAAAAACAAAAAAAAAAATTTAACTAAGTATTTTCAAACATACTTCTACCCAATAATTTAACTCGACTGCAGTTAAATACCAAGGTCTGTAGCATTCAAGAAAGATGAGAATTTTACTACTCTAGAACAGGAAAGCTTCATAGATCTATTAAAACCCAGCTCAAGAAAACAATATTTTAAAGAAGAAAAAGAACTCATAATCCATTGCAGGTTATAGACTTGAGTAAATCAGGAAAAAAAGATAATTACCTCGAAAATTAGCACTTAAAACTCCAAAAAATGAAAATCATTTGTCATCTGCCCACAACCACAATGAATGAAAATTCCAAATGCTAAGCTTGAATTAGCACAGAAAAACCAAGAAGAAAGCTCACAGAGTTCAAACTCAGATCAGAAGGAGACTAAGTTACACAGAGAAATAAATTTGGAAAAATAAAAAAAAAATGAAGAAGTGGTTAAGCTGATTTTATAATTTATTCTTAAATGATGACAGGGTAAGCTGCATTATTTAATTATTATTCACGATGCATATATAATTCGCAGGAACGCGTGAAAACAGGCAACGGGATGGCAGGTGTGTTTTCTTAAATTTCTTGAAGCTGAGAACCTGGGGTTTTGGTTTATTGTAGCATCCTCAATCATTAGAGTTTGTACTCTCTGTTGTAATGAAGATTTCATCTGCGGTCATTGAAGTTCCAGAAAAATTTCAAATGGATCACTGAATTTTAAAAGTAGATTTAGAAAGTGTTTATAAAACGGTTCAAATAGATTATAAAGAAGTTTGTGTTTAGCTAATGTTTATAAACGATTTATAAATGATCAAATCACTATTTATCTACATATTTTGTGAAATTCTCAAATATTACTCACGTATCCACCGCTCATTTATATTTATTTATAATTTTATACACACTTTCCAAAACAAGTATAATTTTGTGGGTAATATTTATGAATTCTTCAAAATGTGTGGATAAAAAGTAATTGGAGCGTATATACCATTTATAAACAAGAACCAAACATAGGCTTAGTTTCAAGTTGGATTATTGAACTTTTATTTAATTTCAAATTTCATCACCCTATTATCGATCATTTCTAAAATGGATGAAAATTACTTAACTGAAAACCAATATTGCAATAGATCTTTTACATAATCACCACGTAATATATCCATTTACCATTATATCTAAGAATGACAATGGGGCATGGTGGGATTAGGGCAACCAATACCATCTCCACCCTATCGGGAATTTTAAGGGAGTGATGGAGGACGACTTGACAAGGACAAGGTCGAGTGGTATTAAATAATCACATTAATGTCTCATTTATTTATTTATATATTTTATTAAAATAAGGTTTTAATTGTAAAACATAAAAAAATGGAGTTGATTTCGAGGAATTTATGGCGAAACCATGTTCCTCGTCACGCTCAGTTTACCATTCAAGGTGGGGATTCTTTGCTCCATTTAGGATAGGAGAACAAGTACATCAATTATGGCATTTGTAACCTAAAGATAATGTCCTAACCTTCTTTTCGCCATTTTTATTTTTAGGTTGTCACGTAACAATTATGTGGAACATCGATTATGGTATTATTATTGAATGGAGCCATAAGCAGTTCGGCGATTTTTAACATAGTTTCAAGCTAAACGTTTAAAATGATTTGACAAGACCTAAATTAAACCGTTTAAAACAACTTTAAAAAAAAATCAGCGGTTAAATGTTACTAGTTTATTAATTATAAAATATCTATTATGACTTTTTGACAGTAAAATAAAATAAATTATTATATAATTAGATAGAAAAATGATATATTGAGCATCGTGCTTAGTTTATACTAAATATCAATGAATTTTGGTATCCAGTTTGATCTAGATTGAATTTTTTGAACATTGACTTTTAATCTTTTTCGGGTCGATGCACGGACAGGTTTTCAAAACATTGTAAAAACCATGTTTAGGCGTTTGTTTACTTGTTTAATAGTTAAAACTTTCTTTGGGTTAAGATTGTATTTAAGGAGCATGATCATTGTCCATTGGACAAATTTCTCCCGATAATTTAAAGTTTTCATTTCATTTTATTCTTTTAAGTTTTAATTCTTAATTGATCTGGTTTTGTTTCAAACTTCAATAAATCTAGAATATCCAAATTTAATTCAAATTGTTTCATTCATGGCACTAAATCGAAAATTTCAAAAAGTCAATTTTGGTTTGGTATTTTTTTGCTTAAAGTTTTATTGTAAACTACACGATTTTTTTAATTTGAGAGACAGATGTAACATAATAGTGAAACTTAAAACCAAACTAAAATGTAATGATCCAAAATAAAATAAATTAAAATTTTATGGCGCAATTGAAATTTTGCTTAAACCTGAATGATCACTGATGAAATTTACGAGAATGGTCACTTTTGCGTGTGGGACCCCAATAGCTGGCATCACGGCGTTAACCGGTGTAGTCAGGTTCAACCCAACCCGCGTCTTATTTCTTTTCTTGCTCATTGCCAGCACAATGTCTTAGAAAAATAGTTTCAAGGAATTGACCATTTTCTTAAAACATCTCTTATAATTGTATTTCTGTTCTCTAATGAAGAAATATATTACATTTTTTTGAAAAGAAAAAGTCAAATTCATGATTTTTGATGATAACGTCAAGTTAGGTCCTGTTTGACAACTATTATTTGGATAAAATAAAATTTTAAAAAGTGCTTTTTTAGAGAATGTATAATTAAAAAGTATGAAAAAAAAAAATTTAGATTTACATGCAGTAAATGTGTGGTTGAAAATGAGTACGTAGAAAAAAAAGTTGAAATAATGATTGTCAAACAAGAGCTCAAAGTCAATCTTGTTTCTATGTAATAATAATTATGTTATAGGTACATTGTTGTTGATAATTAATTAGACATGACGAGAACCTCTGCTCATTCCTTTTTTAAGTATCTGCATCAAAAATAGCCAAGTTTTACAGGGACAAAAGGCAGCATTGTGCCTCAAGTATAATCCTGAAGGGGAGAAAAAAAAGTTCTACTCACATTTCGCGGCAATTCCTTACTTGGTTAAACTCAATTTGGAGAGAACTGCAGCCGCTTGATCACCACCTAACAAGAAATATGGATGCCTTAGAGCAGCTGCAGCAGATAAACGCCCCCTTCTCAGGGAACCTCTCTCTGAAATAAGTTTAGTAACCAAATCCCACCCTCTGCCGGAGTCGAGATCGAGAATACTGAGGTCTGGCCTCATCCGAGTTTTCTCCCTCCATCTATTCAAGTCATAACCAACTGCCTTCAATTCTATATTGAAGTTTTTCAGTCCTGCTGTCGACCTTAAGGTTGGTATTGCCATTTGAAGGAGTACAATTCCGGCAGAATACATATCGAAAAGATCGGGACTGTTAAACTGAAATAAGTGGGAAAATCATGTCAGCATTTTGCCAAAATATTTAACATGTTCAAAAATATGCCGTAGATGAGTGTTGATCTAATTGGACGAATGAATAGTTTCTTTTTTATTCATTTACTAGAGAACAATATTAATTTTCCCCGCATCATGATTTTACAAAAGAGTAAAAATGTAAAATGAGCGTATCCAAGAGAGGCTCTATTTGTAAAAAGCATATTTTACAATTTACAGAGCATCTATAAATTTAAAGAGTAAAAATTTTTAAGTACTCCGACGTGATCTTTATATTTAATACTTAATTTTACTATTGAATGTATTTAATTATAGGGAGTGTGTTTGGCTCTCTAAATTTGAAAAGTCAAACTCACTCTCTATTTTAAAATATTAATTTAAAGAACCTCTTGGAGTATAATTTTTAATTTTTACTCTTTAAAATAAAGAGTATCTTATGTTTAAAGAGTCTCTTAGAGATGATCTAAAGTGTTAAAAAGATCGTACCTGCCACAATATTGGGGAAAGAAGGGCAGCAATTGGCTCTGGTGGTGGTTTCGGAGTTTCCTCGGGCATTACATATAGTTCAGGAGGACAATAATCAGGATCGAGCAATCCACGATTTGGAACGTAGTTTTTACCTATTCGAAGGTCAGTGGCTGCCCCAAAGTCTATGAGTTTGATTTTGCCCTTTTTGGTGACTACCAAGTTGGATGGCTTTACATCTCGGTGAACTATGCCCGTGTCATGGATTTTCTTGAGGGAAGTAATAATCTGGCGCATTATTTGTTTGATAATCAATGCATTGCGTTCAATAGAGTCTATCCCTTGCAAGACACGACCAAACATGACAGACTCTAAATTCAAAGGAAATCCACGATCTTTCATGTAATCATCCAAGTCAAGATCACCCTGCAACATGAAGCTTATCTAAAATTAATGCAGACGGCAAACATAAAGAAAACCATTGTAAAAATTCACTTAAAAAGGCATATGTTAACTATGATCGTGGAAGCGGCATTTGTGATTAACAATCATGTGGTGATATCCATAAATTTATATGAACAAACTTGTGGATGATGAAAACATATATTGGCGAATACCAATTTTGAGCTCCACAGAAAATAATTGCAGCATTATAACATCTTAAAGCACGCCAAATATCATCATCTATGTTAAATCCATAAGAGGCGACACCTCCATTTTTAAAAGTAATATTTACATGTCCCAAAAGCAATCTAATTTGTAAATTTCACATAATAATTTTGAGGAGAATAAGAATGTTTCGTAATCATACTTCCAACATAAATTGTTCAAATACAAGGTCCATCCCCTTTTTCAGTTTCTCCAGCATATGCATTACAAAAAACCACCGAAAAATACCAGACAGGTTTTCCAAATAAAGAAATGAAATTGAGAGTGATACTCTTTACGTTAATTAACAGATTCTACATCGGCGTAGTAGTATATTTGCAAACTAAAGCCATTCTCGTGAAAGTTCGTCGTATCATTGTTCTCGAATAGATAGTTTGACGAACAGATCACTTTATAAATTTTGTTCACTGGAACTCTCTAAAAACAGACTTCAGCAAGTAAATCTTTTGCGAAACTCGAAAATAGCAAGTTCATTAAATTGGCTCATAAAATAAGTACCTCAAATTTCCAGACAAGCCATTTCTCACCCTTCGTATATAGTTTATTGGTTTTATCTGCTATAAATGTTCCAAGAAATTCTGCACATGTCTCAGGGGCTGCTCTAGACAGCCTATAATTAAACCACTCTTCAAAGTCACCACATTCTACAGCACCTTGAACTCCAATTTTGACCTATACACAAAATAAAAATCAGAAGAAAGCAAAGAGGATTACGGATTTCTTTTTGAAGCTAGCAAACTCGTCCAATAGAAACCAGCAATTCGATCAAATAGAAAAGTATCTATGTAATGCAGATAAACAATCAATACTTTTCAATTTTCCACCTATATATTCTTGAATATCTCAATTATTTTAAAAAAAATTAGTTTTGAGAAAGCTTCTACAATAATTATTCGATACAAATGAATGAACAGCATAAGATATCTCCCGGATACAACCAGCAATTCAAACAAAACGAAAAGGATATATGGAATGGAAGAGAAAGCAATCAATACTTTTCAATCTTAAGTATCCGAAGAATTCAAACTTGAGAGTTAAAGTCATGAATATAAATGATCCAAGTGAAAACACGCACATCTATATTCAACCAAAACAAACAATGATTGTTAGCCATAAATCCGAACTTTTACCTTCTTGAGAATAACCTTTTCTTTAAACCTTTCGTCAATCCTCAAAGCTTTTCGACTTCCTCTTTTCTTTACTGTTTCATTCAAATTGACGTTCTTGGGGACGATTACTCCAGAATAAACAACACCAAATGACCCCTCTCCTAATCTATCTCCAATCAAGAAATCAGTCATTTTCAAACTCCTCCTTCCAATCAAACTATCAAATCCCACCTGCAGAGGTGCCAAAATATATGCATCAATTGCCCCAATCAAAACTCCAGGTCTAGCAGTCAAGTAAATCCAAGTAAAACCAGCAAAAACCAAAACCCCCAACTTCTGCACTTCTGGTAATTCCCCAGTTACTCTCTGTAATTCCTGAAAAACAGGAAATTGGGACAATGATTGGTCCAAATCAATGGACTTTTTCATCAAATTCGCCGAAATGTCATCAAGAAATGCATTGCATTTGATTGAATTTTTCCTCCAACTGGACCAAAAGACTCCTTGTGAGGTGGGTTTTGAGTCTCTTGACGGGGAGAAAAAAATGGGTATAGAATCTTGATGAAAAGTGGTTGCAGTAGGGGAAAGAAGAGAAGCCATGAAGTGAAATCAAGAATCCTGAAACAGACAACCTATGGCGCGAGTTTGTGTTTGCTAAGGAAAGAAAGATGGGCATTTTACGCTCGTCAATCCTAGGTTTATCCATTTGTTTTGGGGTATGTGGAGTGTGAAGAAACAACGATGCAGCAGTATAGGGATTTTTCTACAGTTTGGAACAAAGATTTTTTTTTTTTTTTTTAAGTCAAAACTTCAGTTTTTTCTTGGAAAGAAAAGGTTCAATTATTTCTGCAAAATCTGTAGTAGGAATATATATATACTTCATCAATTCTCTAAATTTCAACAAAAAATATGTATTTAATTTAATTTGTGTAATTAGATTATTAAGAGGGAGAATCTTCCTTATTAGCTCAAAGCTCTAACCGACTTAGCTAATAGGCCATGTTGGTTGTATTGAACTTGTTATTTTTATAGACTAATCTGGTTTTCCAAAGTTTGCTTTTAATTAATGGAATATAAGAAAAGTGTGTGGAATCCAATTTAAGGTTGTCTCTGCTCGAACTATATAACTCGTTTGATGCAACCGAGTCAGTTATGTGAATAAAAAGAATTGTGCCAAATTTTGTACTTTTTTTAATGTTCTGAAGTTACCATGTAGGTAACTTCAGACCATTTCAACACTGCCAGACCTATTAATCTCATGCCAAGCCAATATTAAGTCCTATTTGGTAAAGATTTTTAATTTAAGTCAAAATCAACAATTAATTTTAACTATACATTTCAACAATTTCTATTAAAATCTACTGAAAATTTGATTTTAATTCTCGTCGAACCGGGGGAATATGCCTCTAAGGCTGGCGATGAAATTTTATGTGTGTTTTCAAGCAAAGACCCACTTTATGGACCCGTTACGTATGGAAAATGCAGGCGGAGGCGATGAACTTGTATTTGTGTTTTCAAGCAAAGATCCACTTTCTGAACCTGTTACGTATGGAAAAAGCAGCCGTTAGTCCGCCTGCGTTTTTTCAAATTCAAACTCCCACTCCCACCTCCAAATTCCAAAATAAAACAACATTTCCTCTATCCATTTCCTCACACACAACAAATAGAAAAAATGCTGGCGGCTCAATCTCCGTTCTCCGGCGCTCAGACGATACACCGGCCAAAAAACTGCCGGAAACCTCTGCAACCCATGAACTCACTCCTTACTCCAACCACAATCAACTCCAAATCAAAACTAAATCATCCTGTAGACGATTCTAACAAGGAGAATGTTCCTCCCATTTATGCCGCTCCAGCCAAGAATGAATTTTTCAATTTCGATTCCTTTGATGCATCGCTAAATGAGGAACTCAATTCCATTCGCGTAAAGCTCGAAAGGATGAGGACAGACGAAGAGAAGACTGAAAAGATGATGAACGAAAGGAATCTGATGCTGGATTTAAAAATGAAGGAGCTGTTAAATAGAGGGGAGTCTCAGAATCAGCTTGAAATTGAGGTCGATCGGTTGTATCGATTGCAGGAGATTAAATTATATTGCATGGTAAGATTGGATCTTGATTTAAGGATTAATCTATTGAAAATTATATATAGATCTGTTAATTGTGGGAATTAATCTATTAATTTTGTTCTGATTCTGTGTTATAGAGGGTATCTTCACTTCGATCATTGAGAGAGAAGGAAAATGAAAAGAAGATGAAACGAGATCAAATAAAGGCAAGTGCGTTTTCAATTTTATCTTATTTGCAGTGTTTCCTTATAAGCTATTAATTCAATGAATTCTTGATCACTGAAATTTTTTGCTCGTTTTTCCGTAAATTTTGTAATATAATTATTAATTATGAGATGATTTCTATGTTTTTCAGGTCAATAAAACAGAGGATAGAGATGAACCGAATGAAGAAACCCCGTTGCGAAGCCCAAATTCAAAAGAATAATGTTATGTAGTATTTGGGTGCTTAGGCGATTGTGTGTTTTCCATCTAGGGAGACGAGTGGAATAATATCTTTCAATGTATACAGGGGCAGACCCAGCTTAGAAATTTTCATCGAGATTTTAATCAACAACTGTTGCTGCGTCATTTTGACTTCTTTCTCATTAAAAATAGAACAATTTATGATCATAATTATGTACTAGTCACAATGACAGAACGTTACATTCACAAATTATCATATTAATTGGTCACGTATTATTTCTCGATCACAAATTATCAAATTAATAGATCACGTATTATTTATCGGTAACAAATCACAAATTTTATAGATCATAATTTATTTCACATTACAAATTAATTTGTCACAATTTAGTCCTTGTTTTACAATTATTATTTGAAAAAAAAAAAGCAATATTTTGAATAGCAATCATCATATGCAGTGGCTTAACACTGCATATCAGCTCATGGTGCTCACATCGCTACGCGTGGTGGCGCTCGTCAATAGTCTTCCAATGTTCTTCGACTGTGATCTCACATGTGTGACCTAGAAGAGAGAATTGAGAGGATAGAGAGAGAGAGAGAGAGAGAGAGAAGATAGAGGAAAATTATTTAGGGTTTTGAAGTGAAATGGGGATAGGGTGGATGGGGTTGGAAGATTAATGTAATGTTTTATTATTATTATTATTATTATTATTATTATTATTATTATTATTAAGTTAAATTATCACCTGATTTTTGAATAAAAACTTTTTAAAATGATTTTTGTATTGGAAAGTTAAAAATCACATGTAGATGTAATTTTCACTAAATAAAATACATTCTGGTGGGCCCATTAAGTCCCATTTTTGGTAACCATTTTTCTGTTAGGTCCAATGTTGTAATTGACATGTTTGTGAACAAAAAGGTCTTAATTGAACACTTGTAAAAATTCAAGGATTTGGATGCAATTTTGTATAGATGAGTTAAGTTAGGGTTAAAGGTTGAAAACAAGGAAAACATGATGGCAAAATTTCGCTAGCTACTTGCCTGACTCAAGCTCGAGCGGTAGAAACAGAGACGTTATCGCCCGCCTATCGCCTCGCTATCGCTCGAGCGATGTATTTATGCGGTCAGACCTAATTCACGATTTTGAAGAATTTTACACAGCCCATAACACCTAAGCGTTCCCCAACTATAAATACAGATGTCTGGGATGAATTTCAGATGGTTGCTTTATTGTGCTTTCATTGTATAACACATCTACATTATATTTTAAGAGATCCAAAAGCATAATTATNGTTAAAGGTTGAAAATAAGGAAAACATGATGGCAAAATTTCGCTAGCTGCTTGCCTGACTCAAGCTCGAGCGGCAGAAACAAAGACGTTATCGCCCGCCTATCGCCTCGCTATCGCTCGAGAGACGTATTTATGCGGTCATACCTAATTCACGATTTTGAAGAATTTTACACGGCCCATAACACCTAAGCGTTCCCCAACTATAAATACATATGTCTGGGATGAATTTCAGATGGTTGCTTTATTGTGCTTTCATTGTATAACACATCTACATTATATTTTAAGAGATCCAAAAGCATAATTATTTGGTGATTCATCATATCATTCTTGAGATCCGACAACCAAGTTTTGGGAAAACATTAAGGTTCGTGAATCCAAAACACCTAACTTTCGTAACACTTTGAGGAATGTACTTTCTCAGTTGGACTTTAGAAGTTTCTGGAGGTTGAGAGATGTTAGACTACAAGCGCAGGAAGAAGAATAAGAATAGGTGATTCTTGGATATCCACTTGGACGAGACAATTGAAGAAGATCGGGAGTCTGGAATTTACATCGGATCTTGGAAGCTACAGGAGGTAGATCGGGGAGATCTAGTAGGTTGTCTAGATAGTATCTACGATAGCAAATCGTGAGTCTGGAGGAACAACATATCTTGGAGATTACAGGAATTACAACAGCAATAACTAGTGGAATTTGCTAGGCTAAAACGGACTGTAATCCATATTGTCTATAGTGGAGGTAACTAGTTTGGTCCTAGAGTTTTTACCCAGTTGGGTTTCTTCGTCATCATTTTGGTGTTCATTCTTTATTACTTTCCATATTACAAACAATGGTATTCAAATATAGGATAATTGAGTTGTATGCTTAATCATTTAGAAACTAATAAAAAAGTGACTTGTTGCTTTAATTAGCAAAATTCCACACGTAAGGTCGAACTTAGTTAGTAAACTACGTATTTTCACTTTTAAAATTCCTTTTTCTCATATTCATTTTTAACCGCACATTCTCATAATACAATATTTTGTATGTAAACTCAAAACATTTTTCTACTTTTTAACCACACGTTCTTTAATTATTTACTATTCAAAAACTCATTATTTAAAAAAAACTTATCAAACAAGGGCAAATATTGCTATATACACATTTATACTTATGTTTAGGCAACAAGTCTGATCGTGTATATTTTGGACCTAACTAGGTCAGTTTGGCAATTTTTGAAATCGAACCTACCCATTTAGATAATAGAAGCCGACCTAACCTGAACATGTTGAGGCCAGGGATTTTTTAGTTTTCTTTTTTAGTTTTCTAATATAGTTGAATATTGAAACTCAAGAACAATGCCCTTCAAATTCATATTGCCTTTCTTCCAAAAATCGTTCCTAAATTCCATTCATCCACAAACCCTAACCTCAAATAAAAAAATAAAATAAAAAAAGGGGAACAATGCCTTTCATTCATGACTTATCCACATATCAACAAAAACTTGCAAATTCAAAAAACCAATAAGCCAAAAGTTCACAAAAAAATCCATAAAATTCAAATATTGGATAAGGTCAGTGGCTCTTTCAAATTTGTGACTTCTTCTTTTGTTAGATTCAAAATTAGAAAATAAGCAAGAACTAGGAATGGCTCTTTCAAATTGATGACTTCTTTTCTTATCTTCTTCTTTGAACTAAGGGTAGTTCTTTCAGATCAGTTGCCTTCAATTTCTTTGAAGAGAAGTTCGTTGGAGAGACAAGGTAAAGCTAGAGTTTCAACGACGTGGATAAGAGAATGGGTGTTGGCTTGGATTTGATCTCATAATTTCACCTTTTGAATAAGGGCAGGGTCGGTTTGGCGGGTTGGTAGGCTTGCACCCATAACCGATCAACCTACATAATTTACAATCTAACTGTACCTGATACAACTCGAAAGAATGTCGAAATAGATCCAAAATGACCAGATACGATGTGATATATAGAACATGCATAAGTTGTGTTAGGTTTTAGATTATTCGTAATTGGCCATTCTGTGAACAAAAGGACTGAAATTGACATATTGTAAAAGTTCAAGGAGTAATGTGCAAATACGTTGAAAATAGGGTTTTTAGGTTTAGGGTTCGAGAATGGCAAAAAGTGGAAAATGGCGTGGATTTTCGCTAGACTGTCTCCAAGGTTTGGCTCGAGCTACAAAAGCAGAAACTTCATCGCTTGACTGTCGCCCTGTCTTCGGTCGAGCGACACTTTATTCGGGAAAGTTTTGTTTCGCGTTTTAAAGGCTTTTTCCTTGGCCCATTCATTTTTCTAACCTACATTTAAATACCAAAACACTACTGTACAAAAATTCTAAGGTTGAATATTGAGAGAGCTACATCTGTGAGAGATTGATTACATTCCTTCTTTTAACCTTCATCTTGTGAGTTTGTTTTGGCTAGGCTAAGTGAAAAGATGGATGCATTCTTGCAAGGTCTGATTGAGGAGCATCGTCATAACAAGAATGGAAATACCATGATAGATCATTTGCTTTCTTTGCAAGAATCACAGCCAGAATATTACACAGATACAATCATCAAAGGGATTATGACGGTAAAACTTTCAATTCTTTTTTCTCATGTCCTTCTGGAGCATTAAAAACAATTTGAATTTGAACTTAATTTGATGTGTGAATTTGTAAATGACAGGTTATGTTAAATGCCGGGACAAATACCTCTGCAGTGACCATAGAATGGGCTTTGTCGGCTTTGCTCAACCACCAGGAGAAGCTGGAAAGGGCTAAAGCTAAGATTGACAGTCTTGTGGGCAATGATCGTCTGGTCGTGGAATCAGATTTATCCAAACTTCATTACTTACAAGCAATTATTTCTGAAACTTTTAGATTGTTCCCAGCAGCTCCATTACTCGTGCCACATGAAGCATCAGATAACTGTAAAATTGGAGGTTATGATATACCCCGTGGCACAATCTTGCTCATCAATGCTTGGACCCTTCACAGGGATCCCACGGTTTGGGATGAGCCCACAAGCCTCAAGCTAGAGTGATTTGAAGTTGGGGAAGTCGGACCACCAAAATTGATGACATTTGGAATGGGAAGGAGGTCATGTCCTGGTGCTTGCCTAGCCCAACGGATGGTGGGTTTGACCTTAGGATCTTTAATACAGTGTTTCAAATGGCAAAGGATTAATGAAAAGAAGGTTGATTTAAAAGAGGGATTCGGGATCTCTATGCCCAAAGCTGTGCCACTTGAGGCAAGGTGTAAAGCCCGCAATGTTCTTCACCAGGTTCTCTCGAACGTAGCTTGAATTGTTTTTGGGAATTTATAACTAGTGTTATATATCCTAGTACTTATAGTTTTATAATAAATGTCAATTAGCGGTTAAATGTCATAAATTTTTACCATTTTGTGTCTGCATTCTGTATCTTGGAAAGTATTCGAGCAAAAGAGATCAAGAGACTTGCATCAAAATCCATATTAGATATCAAATGCGCATCCGCTATTAAAGTCTCTGCCTTGTTTTGGTTGTAATTAATTGCGGCCTTCATAAGTGAGGATCGCCACCACATGAGCGGTTCAGCCTGGCCGCAACGGCTGTTGTAGAGGAAAAAAGAGAAAGAAAAAAGGAAGAAGATTAATTGAAGTTGATTCCCACCACACCAAACCTGCTTTCGCCAATGTTTATAACATCTAACTCGCTTTTTCTTGTCCCACATAGTTCTATCATCTACCAATATTATTCATTTATCCACCAATCA